CTGATTTAGCAGCTGGGTTTTGTCCCTGGTGGGATTTAACCTTGCGTGGGCAAGAAGGGGAGGGGGAATGGGCCGATTCGGGGCCAAACGGGGTGGTAGCAATGCAGAGCAGCTCCTACCCCTCCTGCCGCCCTATGGCACCCTGTGTCCCTGGGGGAAAAGGGTGCTTCAAATGCTGCAGGGGTGTTAGTGCCACAGAGGCAAGAGGGGAAATGCGGTGGCATCGCGGCGCTGCTGTGGCTGGGCTCCGCTGGTGCTGCCCATCCATCCCCAGTGGCCTTTCCTCCGTCCTGCAGGGCCCAAGCAGGAGATGGTGTACGACTTCTGGCGCATGGTGTGGCAGGAGCACTGTTCCAGCATTGTGATGATAACCAAGCTGGTGGAGGTGGGCCGGGTAAGGACCCCATCCCGTCCCTCTCCCTCCGGGCTCCAGCTCTGCCAGAAGCCTCCTCCACAGAGCCAAAACCCCATCCCGTCCTCTCCTTGCAGGTGAAATGCTCCAAATACTGGCCAGATGACTCCGAGATGTACGGGGACATCAAGATCACCCTGGTGAAGTCAGAGACGTTGGCCGAGTACGCCGTCCGCACCTTTGCTCTTGAGAGGGTATGGTGCTGTTCCTGCCAGCCGCGACCTGCCCGACCCTGCCCTTTCAGGCAGAGAACCGACTGCCTTGGGCTTCTCTAACCATCACTAGATTGGCATGTACCAGTGCCCTATTTATTTACCCCAACGTGGGGCTTTCACCCCTGATTGAGGTGCAGCCTCTGAGCCCTGGGGATGATGGTAGCTTCTTCCTTTGCCTTTTCCCCGGCTCTGTGTCCTCCGCCGGGGCAAGCAGCTCGGCCCCGCTTTGGTTTCTGCAGTGAGCGAGTATTTAATTTTCCGTGTGAGCACTATGTAATTGCAACGGGGGTGAAGGATGCTTTTTCTCCTCCGGGCTGGAGTGCAGGTTATGTGGCCATTACTCTCCAGCGTGGTACCTTGGGATGGAGCCAGTGCGATTTACCCCTTAATCTACAGGAGTGTGAAATTACTGTCTAGTTATAGGGCAGGTAACAAAGATGCTCGTGGTATTAGACCTGTGGCTGCTTGCTGCCTCCTCCTCTTCCTCCTCGGCTGGTTTTTAACCCTCTTGCAGCCAAGGAGGAGGGAGCTGCGGGGCTGTCAAAGCAGTTGACTGCCGTGTGGTCCATCTGGCTGGATGCTGAGCTGGCAAAATCATGGATTCCCAAGAAAATTAGGTGTTTGGGTGGCTTTGCCCTCTGCACCCTCGCTCCATCTCACCCTTCCCTTGCAGCGGGGCTACTCGGCCCGGCATGAGGTGAAGCAGTTCCACTTCACGTCATGGCCCGAGCACGGCGTCCCCTACCATGCCACAGGGCTGCTGGCCTTCATCCGCAGGGTGAAGGCGTCCACGCCGCCCGACGCTGGCCCCATCGTCATCCATTGCAGGTATGTGCGTGGCTGTGGGGCAGAGCCAGCTGCGGGGGAGCATCCCCCTCCGGGATGGGGTTTGGTTGGGGTATGGATGGCCCCGGCGGGGAGAGTGCTGTGTCTTAGGTGGGTGCTCAGCCTCTGGCTCCGAGTGGTGCTAAAAGCTCTGAACGATACTAAAATATTCAGCAGGGAAATACAAAAGGTATAAATTGGGTTTGTAACAAGGAAAGGCGAAGGCAGGGAAGGCACCGGGGCTGGCAGCGTGAGGTTGGATGTTCCTCTGCGATGGCATCCAGCTGTAAAATGTCACCCCTGGGCTGGTGGCAGCAGGGCGACTGCGGGTGGTCCAGGGGGGTAAGCAGGGAGCAGCACTTTTTTGGAGGCTGTCCCAGCACGCGTTACTGATGACACAGCTCTGTCCCCATGGGCAAGGGTGGCACAGGGCGATGGGCAGCTGGACTGCTGCTGGTGGTCAGGACTTTGGGTCTGGCCGAAGGGAGAGGCGGGGGGGGGAGCCCCATTCCTGGGGTTACCTGCAGGGCGGGAGCGGTGGCTTTCTGTCCCCTGAGCAGGCGTCCCCACGCGACAGGTTAATGGCTGTTCCTCCGCTGGGCAAACAAGGAGGAGCTGATGAGCGGGAGGGATTTTTTTTTTTTTATTTGATTTCTCCCTGTCAATTGCCTCATCAGTATTCATTCACTGGCAAGAGCGAGTGTGATTAGTGCCCGTAGCCTGTAATCACTGATAATCACGATGAGTGATTCATCAGCCCCAGAAATTAGTATTTCACTGGAAAAGACTTTGTAGGAAAGGAGCGGGGGGAGCGGTTCTGTTCCCAACGTGTTGCTGGAGTGGGGGGGTGTCGCTGCATCAGTAGGTCTTTTGCTGCGAGTACAAGCATGCCAGGATTTGGGATATTGCCGCTGCTGGGTCATCTGGCTCCAGGCATCCTACTGGGCTCAGCCTTAACCCGAGAGTCCCCCCGGGGGAATTCAGACCCCCTCTGCGCTGGGGGTACCTCCCTGCGCTCTCAGGGCTCGATGCTGAGCATCCTCCTCTCCCGCTGCCTCCATCAGCCCTTTTGGGATGGGGTCCCAGAGGACTGTTGGCACTCAGATGGTTTAGCTGCTGGTTTTGTTGCAAAAAGCCTGTGTTTTCCTGTCTTAAAGCAAAATTGAACCTTAGATGTGGGTGCCCAACCTCCCACCCGCTACCCGACCATCTTGCAGCCCCCGGGCCGCTGCAGCGGTGTGTTTGGGCAGGGGGCGGGGAGGTGGCTTAAGGCAAAACTGGACTGTGGTTATGGAGGCGTGCGAGGCCCTGGCAGCCCTGCCTGGTCCCCGGCTGCCCCTGCATCCATGGACAGGGGCTGTATGTTAAGCCCTTGCCCACGCAGACCACCGCTGTGTTTTCCCCCTCCATCCCTAGCGCCGGCACGGGGAGAACTGGCTGCTACATCGTCCTGGATGTTATAGTGGACATGGCTGAGTGCGAGGGCGTTGTGGACATCTACAACTGTGTGAAGACCCTGTGCTCGCGGAGGATCAACATGATACAGACGGAGGTGAGCGGGTGTCGGGAACAGCCGGGGACACGTGGGACTGCTGTCACCAGCAGGTTGCGGAGGCTCAGCCCTCTCCCCTTTCCTCCCCCTGAAAGGAGCAGTACGTCTTCATTCACGACGCCATCCTGGAAGCCTGCCTGTGCGGGGAGACCAGCATCCCTGCCAGCGAGTTCAAGCCCACCTACAAGGAGATGGTGAGGATAGAACCGCAGAGCAACTCCTCGCAGCTGCGGGAGGAGTTCCAGGTGAGCGGCCCCAAAACCCCTGCATCCCCCCTGCAACGTCCCCTTGCTCCTCACCCTCCTGGTGTCCACCATCGCTGGGACCAGCAGGCTCTGACGAGCAGCAGGCAGGGGTTTTGGCCCCGGTGCAGGCAGGAAGGGAGCTAAGGGGAGCACGTGTACTCGCAGACCCTGAACTCGGTGACTCCCCACCTGGACGTGGAGGAGTGCAGCATCGCCCTCCTGCCCCGCAACCGGGAGAGGAACCGCAGCATGGACGTCCTGCCGCCCGACCGATGCCTTCCCTTCCTCATCTCCGTGGACGGAGACAGCAACAACTACATCAACGCGGCCTTAACTGATGTGAGCGTGCTGCAGGGAGGGAAGGGGCCGGTTTGGGTTGTCTTGGGCAGCTTTTCATGGCAAAACCTTGCTCAGTTTGAATTTATGGCCTCGTTTTGCATAAGGGCATGAAGGCACGTGGCAGCTGTGTGTGGGGGGAAGGAAGGGCTAGGACTGGTGTAGCGGGGTCCTTCAACCCTTCTTCTGTGTAGCAGCATCTTCCTTGTCTTGAAAGAGCTTTTCGGCTGCTCTCACAAGCTGTGCACAAAGGGTCTTCATTTATTTCATAGCAAAATGGAGCGCAGGAGGGAGAGGAAGCTCTGGGAGGGGTTGGTAGCACTGAGCCCCTGCCGTGTGCTGCCAGCACCCTGCCTTGCATCCTCCTGCCCATCCTCCCGGTGCAATTCAGGGGGCTCTGAACTGCTCCCAAAGCCACCGTGCATCCCCCCGGTGCAGTCAGAAAGGTCACCCGTGGTGGCAAAGCTATTTCCTACCTGCTGATGACCGCTAAGCAGAGGTGCAGGCTGCGAGCCCACACCGAGCGATGGGTCATTTGTCACCGAAACCACTTTCCTCTCCTTGAAACAAGCCGGGGTGCTTTGCACAGGCAGCACTGGTCCCTACCGCATCCTGGGCACCTTCCCCGAACCCTCCTGGTCACAGCTGAGCACCAGCACCAGGCTGAGCCCTGTTTTTTTCACGCCATCAGTGATTTATCTTTGTGCAGATCTCGTCTCCCTGTTACCTGCTCTCGCAGCAAAAAGCAGTTTGTCAAGCGGAGGTGGTGGCTGGGGGGCAGCACCCATTGGGCTGTGGGCTTTGGCTACTGTGGGATGGGAGCTTTGTTTTCAGCCTGCTTGGTGTTTGCATATCCATTTTATTTTTATACACCGCTGAGCCTCCCTTAATCTCTGCTACAGGGTCAGAGAACAGAAATTTCTTTACAGACAGAAAAAGCCCTTTAGATGAAATTCTTGCTGAAGGGATAAAACACATTTCCCTCTTTGGGGGAAAAAGAAAAGCGCAGCTCATTTTCTTTAAGTGCCAAAGCGGTTTGCTCAGTCCGTCCGTCTGTCAGATGAGATTGGCCTGTGCTGCCCATCACTGGTGCTGAGCGCTGCGGTGGCGCCGGTGCTGGTGGCAGGCTGGCAGAGCCGCACTCTGCTGTGCGCTGGCTGCCGACATTTACCCCGGTGCCAAAGGACTGCGGGTGCCAAGGCAAGCCTGGTCAACACTTGATGAAATCCCCCTCGCCCTGCTGCTCTCATCGCCCTCCTCGAGGGTGGAGAGTGGGGGTCTCGCTGCCACCCCCTGGACAGGGCAGGAGGAAAGGTTTGATAAGGGCATTTCCATGAGCTAAATGAGGAGGTTTTGCAGCAGCCAGAGGACTCTGTTAACGGAGAGCTGTGCTAATTTGCGGGGTTGTGAATTTTCTGCTCTGTTCCTGTATCTGAAGAGGCTTGAGCTAAAGTGTGTTAATTTAAAAGTCTGATTGGTGCAGCGCTGAGCCTGGCCATGGGCTCCCCATCCCCCAGCAAGCCGGCATCGGGATGACCAAGGGGACAAATCTCATTCAAAGCACAAACGAGAAGTACAGTCATTTTTTTCCCCCCCTTCCTTCTTGCAGTCTCTAGAGGTCTTTCATGTGGGTTTTCTTTCCTCCCTGAAAAGACCATTGACCCTGTTGTCTCTTTGCTGCTCTTGGTGCCCGGAGGTGTTGGGGCACTGTGGGGGCAATGCCGTGGGTGATGCTTTCACTCAGGATCAGGGTGCAGAGCTGAGGGCTGGGGCCATCTGGCAGCCACAGCTTCTGCTTGGCACAAAGGTGACATCTTTTCCCTAGTTATTTGTGCGAAACACCCTTTCCTGCAAGAGCCGAGAGCAGAAAGCAGGTGCTTTCGTCCCCACGAAGGGCAGGGATCACTTAGACCTGTTTTTATAGCATCTCCCCAGGGCATGGAGGGACCAAGGCTGTGCCAGGAGGGCCAGCTCTGCTCAACCATAGAGAAGATGGCTTTGGTGGCACTCATCTTCTGGTTGCACTGGTTTTTTGGGGTGCGACAGCAGTGGCTTCAGTGCTGCTGCCATGTCCTTAACGGTGCTCATCTTCCCTCTGCAGAGCTACACCGAGAGCGCTGCCTTCATCGTCACCCTGCACCCGCTGCAGAACACCACCACCGACTTCTGGCGGTTGGTGTCATCTTCTGGTTGCACTGGTTTTTTGGGGTGCGACAGCAGTGGCTTCAGTGCTGCTGCCATGTCCTTAACGGTGCTCATCTTCCCTCTGCAGAGCTACACCGAGAGCGCTGCCTTCATCGTCACCCTGCACCCGCTGCAGAACACCACCACCGACTTCTGGCGGTTGGTGTATGACTACGGCTGCACCTCCATCCTCATGCTCAACCAGCTCAACCAGTCCAACTCCGCCTGGGTGAGTGCTGCCGCCCCGGGGACTGTGCCGGCCCCGCAGGTGGCCCTGTCCTGCTCTGTCCCCACTGCCTTGGAAGTGCTGCAGCCCCTGCCTTGCTCGCTCAGCTCCCTCTCCTCTGCAAGGGGAGACGGGACTGGCTGGAGCACCAAGGATTTATCTCCTCTGATCACAGGGGTGTGCAACCGGGGCCAAAGAC